ATTGGCCCTATCAATCAACCGCAATTCTCTGGAACGGAGTATCAATAATAGGCATTTCACCTAAAGGAGCTTTCTGAAGTCTACCCCTTGTTCCGGCTTACTCTCTCTAAATTTCGTTCTGAAACCGCTCTTCTGTTAATTGGTATCTTTTCAAAACTGCTGTTTTCAATTCTGAATAGTCTGATGCTTGCTCAGGAGGCATACTAGTGTAAACTTCAAGACTTTTCCCGTTAATAACGAACTTAAGCTTATTGCCCATGTATCTTCTTTCCATCCTTGACTGATAGAGAATCTTTCAAAACGCTCTATATAAGCATCTATGTCATCTGTTGACTCTTCAAATTTAGGCAATCTTGGCCTCAAACCGGTGCTAGGTGGGGTATCAAGGCGATCCCCAGCCTCAATTTTTAACTTCATTAAATTCTATTTCTTGCTCTTCATTTTTAAAATCTCTACTTCAGCTTGAAATAAACGTTTCTTTTCCTCACGCTCAGCTTCTTTTTCTAAACGCTCTGCCTCAAATCGCCGTCGCTCTTCCTCACGTTCATCTTCTTTTGCTTTACGCTCGGCCTCAAATCGCCGTTTATCTTCTTCACGTCTAATATTTCTCTCTTCTCTATCAAGAATATTCTGATTCTTTCTTTTGAACATAATCACGTAACTCCCCGTCCTTCAAACCCAAGCCTCTCTCCCAATGATACCCATTTATCATAATCCATAATTACTTAATAATAGATTACTATTCAATAAATTAATCAACTTCTACGAAACCCGTTAAGTAAATGCTTATTACTCAACAAAATGGTGTACCCCTGTAGCACCGACAATTGTTTTTTCCAAATCTAATCTCTATATAGCATGGCACCTACCGGGCACCGGCAATGAACTTGTATCAAACAGTAACAACCAGGGAACTGATAATAATCTTCCCTGTAGTGTTTAACAACTATGTAAACTTTAAGAAAACAACCAACTGAGCACCGGTAGCAAAAACTATCTATTCAACTATTACATACACTTTTATGAATAATCACCCACTGACACCGGTTTTATAAACTTTAATCAACTACTAATGTTTATAACCTCAACAAATTATAAGTTATATCTTTATCATCGATATAAACTTATTAACACAATGATTCAAACTATCGTAACAAATGTCTCCCAAAAACCACTTAATTCTATTACCGTATAAAACAGTATTCAACAAAGGGTGCTCTCCTGCTAAAATGCAATAACTTCTTCAGTATACATAAACTTTTAAACACAGCCCGTCACCGCTTCTATACATATAACTCTCTACTTAAACTCTATTGTACAGAGAGTTTACTTGTATAAACACTACAACAGATTTATCGATTTTTGCCTAACAGCATTTTACACTGCTACATTTTACCAAACAGATCGTAAATGATTTAAAGTTAAACAAAATTTTAATCAAAGTTTAACAAACAATATTTTGCCAGAAAAGATTCCAACTTAAAGAGTATATCCCGGACGAGCCCCCAAATTGTCAGGAGGAAAATGTCTGCCTTGATGTTATTTAATCTAAGAAAAGATTTAGTAATAAATACTAGAACCAATTTCCAAGATATGGAGGCTGGGCAGCACCGCCTGACATAAAAGTGAAATATTCTCAGTTGGAAAACTAGCATGTAATTGTTTAGTTAACACTATCTTTTTTTTTAGGTATTTTTATCCTTTTCTATCTCAAATCAATATATACATGTAAACAACAAACTCTGATTATTATTTACACCCAAAACAAAGAAATCTGATCATTATTTACACCCAAAACAAACACACATCATTTATCAGCCACTTATATGAAATATCTTTTCACGTATACGTCTTTTATACGTAACAAGACACCTGGCGAGCCCAAGCTCTAAAAACTCGTTGTTTCATCTACAATAATATATCACTGTAGGGAAATATTAACTCGTTATAAGATACATATCTACATATAAACTTCATGATTATTCTGACAAACCGATTTTCGATTTTTAGTAACAACGACCTTGACCTTGGCCCTAGGGGGGCCCAAAAAGCAAAACGAAGATACATCCGTTCATAAGCTTGCTATAAACCAGGTTTCATCGAAATATCCCTTTCCAAACTTTAGTAACTGATCGGACACCGATTTTCTCTTTTCAGTAACAGAGACCTTGAACTTGACCCTAAGTAGGGGGACTGGGGGCAAAAGCAATCAATCTCTAGACAGATTTTTCTAGTTTTAGTAACAGTGGCCTTAACAGATGGTTTCCGCTCAATAACAATATAAAGTTTTGTTTAATGGTGTAGTGATCAAAGGATATAACACTAGATATTATATTCCATTTAAAGAAAAACAACAACAACAAAAAGCAAAACAAAGCGCCATAATAAGGTAAAATCATCGAGTCACAAAACGTGACAACATTCGACAGGGCACTAGAATACTAGCTTCTGTGAAAATTTGGACAAAAGCAGTTGCGCACAGAAAAAAATATACGCGATACTGAAATAAGACGTGGAATGGTCTAAGTATTTGCTTCCGATTCATTTCCGACGGTTTTCATGTTCGTACTATCCTGCTAGGCTGCTAACTTCACAATTTTCGAAGCGTCAGAATGAAAAAATTATTTTACGATAAAGTTCAACATCTTAAAAAAAATAAAGATCACGATATTGAAAAAGGCGTGGAATGATCTAAAGAAGTGCTTCTAATGTATTTCCGACGGTTTTCATGTTTGTACTATTCTTAGTTTTCTTTAGGCTGCTAGGCTGCCAGACTGCTAGGCTGCCAGGCTGCTAGACTGCCAACTTCAGGCTGCTAGGCTGCAAACTTCAGGCTGTTAGGCTGCCAACTTCACGAACATTTACAAAATTATTCGATTCCAAAACTCCGACAATATGCACCAGGGCACTTAATGACAATGCTTCTATGAAAGTTTGGTCAAAATCCTTCGAGAAATGTCGGACATAAGTGCATTAGTATTAACGACAATAATTTCATAACCTTGAGTTGACACAAATCATACAAACGAACATTAAGTCATGCACTGCTTTACGATTCATTTACAACAGAAGTGTCATGAATAACTTCTCCAACATAACATTGATATGATAATTGTATTGCGCCCCTTTAAACAGCACTTGCCAGTATGAAGCTCTTTCTGCATATATAAAATAATTCATTCATTCAATATATAGTTGTGTATTGCTGAGTAGTTTTATTCATGAATGAATTTTAGATTAAAAAAAAGGCATTACAAAGGAACATAGAGTCGATGTATGATTTATTATCATGGGCAGGTCCAGTAGTTCATTCAGAAAAATTGTTTAGAAAGATGCAAACTATCTTAATTGCTAGAACCTTTAAGATAAAGTAGTCAGATACTTCAATCATTATAACAAAAATAAACCAACGTGTCATTCTATTTTCAACAAGCCTAGAAAAAGTCATAGTCAAAATCAAATTGTTAAATACAGGAAAGTTACGGAAAGGCATGAAGGAATTCAGCATCAGAAATTAAGACGATATCAAGTCTGTTCAATCTTAATTTTGGGGAAATACCCAAGTAATGTAGCCAAACTAAGGTGGCCAAACTAATGTAGCTAAACTAATATGGCCAAACTAATGTGGTTAAACTAATGTAGCCAAACTAATGTAGCTAAATTAATGTAGCCAAAGTAATGTAGCCAAACTAATGTGGCCAAACTTATGTAGCCAAACTATTGTGGGCAACTTAATGAAGCCAAACTTATGTAGCCAAACTAATGTAACCAAACAAATGTGGCCAAACTAATTTAGCCATACTAATGCGGCAAAAGTAATGTAGCCTTTTAGTAGTTCAAGGTCTCGCACGGAATATTCGTGCACTAATTTCAATTCGACGAAATTCACTTTTATTTATACATATAATTATAAACAATGTAAAATGGGGGCCCTTTCAAATAATAATATTTCAAAAATATTTAAATTTGTATTGATTAATGTTAATAGATAAATGATAATGAACCTTAAAATTTGCCACATTTTTAACAAAGGGTCCGACACACTTGGGTGTGTTCATATATAGTGTAATTAACTTACAACAAGCAATTTGACAAACAATATATTGTAAATTATATAAACACTTTCTTACACTAATTCGAGGAGATAAGATATTTATTTAAAAACGAAATAGAGCAAATATATTTCATACTGATCTGCGACTATCCGTTTACAAGGAGCGCCCACTATCGAATATCGTACGTTAGCCACCCACGTTGATACTGTTGTTTTGATGGAGAAAATAAATATATAAAATTTAAAAAATGTTCCCTTTCTAAAACTTAAACTTTAACATTCTCGCTGTTTATGCTTTCATTTATATATATATTGGTTTCATAAAATTAAATTCAACCTATTGTCAGATACCCGACCAAAACCCGACGTCGAGTCGACGTCAAAAAATGAAGTGTCTGTTAGACGTCCGGGGATTTAACGTCGATTTGACGTTGTATGAAGGTCACCGACGTCGCGACCAAAATTCAACGTTGATCCAAAGTTGAGTCAACGTCGGGTGTTTGTTGGGTATATGGAAAAATATTTTATATACAGTGATAAATCTTGCGAAGATTTTTACATTTGAATCTCACGAGGATTAAGTTAAGCTTGCGACAATTTCAACCTTGAATATTCGAGAATGTAAATACGAAAGGGCAACGGAAATAAAAATTTAAAGTTAAATGCTGTCTTTTTTTGCCCAGAAAGGGCACCGTATTTCAAACCGTTTAAAGAGTCTGCGGGGGGATGGTCGTATTTATACACATAAAATTTATCGATCCAGGTTTTTCAAAAGTGTAACGTCCAAATCACAGCGTATTTATTATTTATTTTATCGTTGAATGTTTTAAACTGTGAGTGTAGCTTAAAAAATTTATCAAAACGTCGGATACAGCTTTAAAGAGTCCGGTTTGGGACGATATACGTAATTATAAAAGACAATTGTATGAGTTGTTGAATTTTCATTGGCTGCGAATATTAATAGCCTCGAAACTTATGACTCATACTATTTGCTGACTGGATTGTTTTTAATTGTTTTATATTAACATTTGGAATGTAAACATTTTAAAGATGAACCGTGTGTACAATTTCCATGGATTAAACAGTTAAAGAAGACACTTTTCCGTAAGTATTAAATTTTAATTTTATAATTATCTAGCATGCATTTTTTATTTAGCTGATTTGAATTGTATTTTGTTATCTTTTTCAAGTTTTTTCATAGAAAAACTGATGTCGTATTTTTGTTTGCTTGTTTGTTACTAACAGTTACATATATCATTGGGATATTCGATGACATTTTTTTCCGGTCACTTTAGGTTTCCAAAGTTAAACTTTTGAAGTTAAGTGTAGACGCACAAATTCAGTCACAAGCGTGAACATGTGTTCGTTACTATTTTATGGAGGGTGTTTAGTGGATGACAACATGGAGCTTAATATATAATTATATTATTTTATATCCGAGTTTACGGTATGTCTTAATACCGGATATGAGTCATATCCGCATATCAAATACCGGATATGACTTATATTTTACAAAGTAATTATTTTTTGTTACTTTTTTCTTGATACGATGTTTTATAATAATAACATGATTTTACATGCAAAATATCGTTAAATTTGGTCCATAAATAAAAAAGTAATAAGTTATATTCGTTGCGTTTTCTTAAAAGGCATATCCGTTGCGGACTGAAGATACCGAATATGACTTATATTTTATAAATTGATTATTTTTTATGAATTTCTTTCGACACGATGTTTTATAATAATAAAATGATTTTACATGCAAAATATCATTAATTTTTGCGAATAAATAAAAAAGTTATAAGTTATATTCGTTGCGTTTTCTATAAAAGTCATATCCGTGAAAGACAGAAGATACCGAATATGACTTATAGATCATAAAGGTTTTTTCTCCATACGATATTTTTTTCATAATAAAATGAAATAATATGCCAAAAAATGGTTCAATTTGATACATTTATAAAAATGTTACATGTTTTATTCGTTGCATGTTCTAAATAAAAGTCATATCCGTAGTAGAAAGAAGATACCGAATATGACTTTGTAAGTTACATATATTGCACGTTCTGTATAAAAGTCATATCCGTGGTGGACTGAAGATACCGACTATGACTTTTATTTTATAAATTTAATTTTTGTTTTATGATGTTTTCTTGATACGTTGTATGTGACGATACAATGATTTTACATGCAAAATATCGTTAAATTTGGTCCATAAATAAACAAGTTATAAGTTATATTCGAATTACGTTCTATTAAAGTCATATCCGTGGCGGACAGGAGATACCAAATATGACTTATATTTTATAAATTGGTTATTTTTTTATTAACTTTTCTCGATATGATGTTTTATTATAATAAAATGATTTTACATGCAAAATATCGTTAAATTTGGTCCATAAATAAAAAAGTTATAAGTTATATTCGAATTACGTTCTATGAAAGTCATATCCGTGGCGGACAGGAGATACCGAATATGACTTATATTTTATAAATTGATTATTTTATTATGAATTTTTCTCGATGCGATGTTTTATAATAATGAAATGTTTTTACATGCAAATATCGTTAAATTTGGTCGATAAATAAAAAAGTTATAAGTTATATTCGTTGCGTTTTCTATAAAAGGCATATCCGTTTCGGGACAGAAGATACCGAATATGACTTATATTTTATAAATTGTTTATTTTTTTATGATTTTTTTTCGACACGATGTTTTATAATAATAAATGATTTTACATGCAAAATATCGTTATTTTTTGTCAATAAATAAAAAAAAGTTATAAGTTATATTCGTTGCGTTTTCTAATAAAGTCATATCCGTGAAAGACAGAAAGAATACCGAATATGACTTATAAAAAAAATCAAAAAAAAGGAAATGGTTTTTCCCTTTTTTTTTTCCATACAAATATTTTTTCAAAATAAAAATAATAAAAAAAAAATATCCCAAAAAAAATTTTTTCCCAAATTTGAAAAAAAAAATAAAAAAAAATTTACATGTTAAAAAATTCTTTTAGTTCTAAAAAAGAAACGAGGGAAAAGAAGAAAAAACCGAAAAATAAATTTTTAAAAATTACTTTATATTCCGCCCCTGAAATAGAAAGCCCAAAAAAATTTCCCCGGGCGGTGGACTAAAAAAAAACCAAAACTTTTAAAACTTTTATTTTAAAATAAAAAAAAATTTTTTTAAAAAAAAATTTTTTTTTTTAAATTGTTTTGTTTTTGAAAAAAAAAAGGTTTTGTATTGTGAGGGGATAAAAAAAAAAATGATTTTACATGCAAAAATATCGTTAAATTTGGTCCATAAATAAACAAGTTATAAGTTATATTCGAATTACGTTCAGATACCAAATATGACTTTTATTTTATAAATTGATGTTTTTTTTTTATTAACTTTTCTCGATATGATGTTTTATTATAATAAAATGATTTTTCATGCACAATATCGTTAAATTTGGTCCATAAATAAAAAGTTATATGTTATATTCGAATTACGTTCTATGAAAGTCATATCCGTGGCGGACAGGAGATACCGAATATGACTTATATTTTATAAATTGATTTTTTATTATGAATTTTTCTCCGATACGATGTTTTTATAATAATAAAATGATTTTTACATGCAAATATCGTTAAATTTGGTCGATAAATAAAAAAGTTATAAGTTATATTCGTTGCGTTTTCTATAAAAGACATATCCGTTGCGGGACAGAAGATACCGAATATGACTTATATTTTATTAATTGATTATTTTTTATGATTTTTTTTCAATGCGATGTTTTATAATAATAAAATGAGTTTACATGCAAAATATCGTTAATTTTTGTCAATAAATAAAAAAGTTATAAGTTATATTCGTTGCGTTTTCTATAAAAGTCATATCCGTGAAAGACAGAAAATACCGAATATGACTTAAAGATCATAAAGGTTTTTTTCTCCATACTATATTTTTTTCATAATAAAATGAAATAATATGCCAAAAATGGTTCAATTTGATACATAAATAAAAATGTTACATGTTATAGTCGTTGCATGTTCTAAATAAAAGTCATGGTATTCACCGTTGTACAGCGTTCACCGGAAATAGCCCCTCAAAACAACGAAAACGAAAGTAAAAATGTTTATGTCGGGTTCACTTATTTCTCAATCATAACTTAATCGATTTTTCCAAATTAAACGGTTTGTGAAGCTAAATATCTGGTCTAACAGTCTGAGAGCACTGTTTAATTATTTTTTGTGTGTTTTAATTGAGGGGCTTTTTCCGATTAACGCTATAAAACAGTGAGAACACTTCTGATGTACAGTTTTCATTCAGACCTGGCTATGAAAATGTTGGATTTTTTTCGACAGACAAATATCAAAAGCATGTATACTTCTGCATCGTGCCTACCTATAATAAAGTACAGGAGGAAAGTTGTTGCTCTCATATCTATAGGGAGAAGTCTCTTTTCCTTATCTAAATCAAGACGCCATTTTTTTGTGCCTCACGGTTGTGGAATTCTGTTTTGCCTTGACTTAGAACAAAATGCAATTTCTACCGATATTCTATCGATTTTTATCTGTTTCATGGTATTTTTGTTATCTGACACCTGTGTTGTAACTCGCGATCTGATTGGATGAGCGGATTTAATTTGACAATAATTAAAATAGTTGTACAAATATTGTACGTTGCGTGCTATGTGCGTGAGTCGCAAAACTAATAATTCTTATTAACTGGGAAACTTGAAACAAAACGGGGAGGGGATAAAATGAACATTGATGACAGCGTTTTTTTTAACTCTTTCTTGAAATGACTGTGTAGAATGTTTCATTTTGATTGGCGATTTTTTCAATGAGGTGACTGTTTGAGAAACAAATATATTGTGCATCTCCTTTATAAGCGTTGCAAAAGTTGCAAAAGTTATAAAGGCTTATAACGTCTGATACTCTTTTAAAATTTCGATTTTTAGTTATCATTATTTTCATGCTGAAGGCTCTAATATCACAGCCGTATACCCACATCTTTGCATGGATGCTCTAATTGCAAAGTTTTACCATTTAATCGAGCCGGTGCTAGGGTATATAGACAGTAGCTTAACTATCTTTGATGAAACCGTATCTAGTTTACTGTAATGTATATATTCAGTAAGGTTGTGTATTTTTCCATTCTATTGCAATATCCCGACATGGTTCACAATCCATTTGTTACCAACGTACATACGCTTAACCACGCACTATAGCAGACGATTTAACTACGACGTATTGATCATGATATCACGTGACCTTTATTTTCCAAAATATCATTGAATTAATTGAATAAGTTTTTCGCTTTGTAAGTATTTATTGAAAAATATAGGGGAATATAAAATGGACATTAAATGAAGAACGTATTTGAACTTCTTCGCATTTTGATAATTTCTTTGATTTATTAATCTATGTTTCCATTTGTTTATTGTCATTTATTTATTTATCAGACGCGTATTAACATGAAGTTTGCCGTATTGGTGTTAATTTTCTATTATATATCATAAATTTGTTTCTTATACACATGAACTCGCAAATAACGTTGTATATAGCAGTGTTACATGTACGCCGCATACAGCTTTCAAAAAAAATGTAAATCTTCGAAGAGATTTAATGATGATATGGTGGTGATGATGATGATGATAATGATTTAAATAATGATGATGCTTTTGATGATGATGATGATGATGATGATGTTGATTATACATGCCGTTGATAATAACGGCGCAACAAAGCATTTTGCGATTGAAAACAACTTACTTTCTTCTAAATTAATTTGATATTTCATAATGATGTTTTTGTAGCCATTTAAATATAAATAGATTATATATGTGATATTAATTACAACAAATACGAAGAATAGACCAAAAAAGCAAACTATAAACTTTGAGATGTTACTATTGGTAACAGTTAAACATATAAATGCATGGGAGTTAGAACATGTAAATGCATGGGAGTTAGACCACTATTTCTTCATTTTATTGTACAGCTACTATAGTTAAAGAAAACAAAATAATTATTATTTATAAAATCGTATAATTTGGCAGAAATCGTTCAATGAATAAATGAATGAATGAATGAATAAATGAATGAACTATTGG